ATTATTATGCTCTGGACTGTGAAATCCACTATAAGCATATATACTGAAGCACACCCACATCGTGCATAGCTACAACAGTTTGGCAGTGAATTGTGGGACGAATAGATCCACTAGTGCAGACCCTCACCAGTCAATGCCATTCACCAGTCACGAACAATGCCTGTGAATTATGTAACATGATCCAGAGGGCACCGAGACAGCGAAGTCAATCTGAACAGAACCATTGAAGAATACACGGTACTCACTACTCAGCAAGAATTGGTAAGCCAGTCAAAAAAATTTATGATGAAATATTTGACTAGTCCCACAACTCTTGTTTTACTGCCTAGGATTCTTGCTGGGCCTGACAAGAATTTTACATCAAGAACCCCAGTTGCAATGTACAGTCCAGCACTAACTTCTCTTTTCATTTCCCTTTTCTTTAAGAGAGCACAATTACTTTTTTGACAAGTCAGGGGGCATAATCTAATGCCCGCGTCTGTAAAAGAACATAACCCATTAGTAGCAACAAAAGCAAAATTGCCAATTATTTCATTTCAGTAATATTTGCTGTTCTTTTACATCAATATGATATTCTACCCACATTTTAGGGCTATTCTTAAATAAAAAAGAAAAAGGATTCCCACAATTTAGTTGAAGACTGAGAAGCAGACTGTCACCCCTCCAAAATTTCTGATTTTGGGTTGTGCATAGAAAACACTAAATAAAATAAATTATTTTAATATTTGGATAAAATTTACAACACTAAATAAAATAAATTATTTTAATATTTGGATAAAATTTATCAAGTTTAGTTTGAGCTAGCGCAAATTTAGTTATAGAAAAAATGTGAATTTTCAAAGTTTTCTAATTTTAATGGATGTTTGGATGATATGATGTTTGTTTATTGCTTCTTTGTGTGTTGAGAGTGAGTAAAGTCTTTAAAATACGTTAGTAGGTCGATTTTCTTTCTCCGGCACGTCTTTATCTTTTTCAACAATCAAATTCCTTGTTTCTCGGCTCAAGTTTTCATTGGGAGCTTCCTAAAATCTTTTCTTTGTAACGCAAATCACTCCTTTTAGTTCCTCATTCGTCAATAAATTTCTACAAACTTCTCGGGAATTTTTTTAACTTTTTCTGGAACTTGTTTCTACTTGTCTGTGAGCATAATTTAATTTTTAGATACTCCAAATTATCTTATCATGGGCTCTAAATACTTTATTTGGGTTCCTCGTGTTCCATAATGTCTCTGGGAATTTACCCTGAATTTTTCGGAATTTTTTTCGTGGTTTAAATAATAATTCTAGACTTTTCTGAAATTATTTTATCCATGAAATTAATTAATTCCAAAAATAATAAATCTCTTATTTTTTCCAACGCTCAAAGGCCATGTGCAATAATCCTAATAAATCCTAAAGGCCCATGCATTTATTTACTAATGGGTTTTAATGATTATTTAAGCCTATTAGTAAATGTGGAGGTTGCAACATCAATTAGTACTATATTGCTAGTCAATGTAGATATGGAGAGTTTTCTCCATATAAATATATACTAACCCCTTGACAAAATACACTAAAACTATCGTAAGGGGAGCCCCTAGTTTAGGAAATCCCTCATGTAGTAAATTAGATTTTTCTCCTCCTCTCGTCGCCGCCGTCGCCGCCATGCTGCCCAACCGTGTGGAGTTCCATCGTGGCCACCTTCCTCTGGTCTGGAGTTTGACTATGGCCATATCAAAGTTCTGTGAGCTTTCATCTGTTATTTTTCCTATTTTCCTTTCTCGTTGCGCTTGATGATGCTACAACATTTATTTTTCTCTTCTATGTCGTTGCTCGGTGTAGCGCCATCGCCGGCATCGTCGGGCAGTTCCCTCGCCACCGCCGCCAAGCAAGGGCTTATATGCGGCGTCTTGTGCATGCATGGTCACGCTGCCAACCCGACCATCCTCTCCTTCATGTAACAAGTCGAGCCCACCCCTGCGCAGCTGCTGTGGCCATGGTCGTGTGGTGACTGTACGGGAGGTCAAAGGATGAAGACGAGGTAATTACGAAATTACCACCAGTTCGTAATATCGTCGTCTTATATTCGTTTTAAGTCCGTTTCGAATCGTTCTAATTACGTTAGATTCGTATCGATGCGATCTACATGCTAGTGTCGTCGTTTTTTTATGTCAAGTAACTTATATATATATATGCTTAAACATTAATTTGATTAATATGCATGCAACTAGTTTTTATAAATAAAAGCAACATAATTATATACAATACTCTTTTGCAAATAAGTTTTAACATGACTAGTTGCTAACATAAATATGTTTCTAAATTATAATATGTTTAGTCTAAACACACATCAAATTTGATTAGATGTTCTCACATGCCAGTTTGTATTTGCGAATTAAAGTTGAATTGGCATAAATGATATTAAAATATTTATAAATAAAATATGATTAGCTTCAACTCAGTTTTTAAGTATAAATATGATTTGTTTGATCTAAATTAATGCTACTCACATAGTTTTTCTAATTAACATAAATCAAGCTTATAGTCTTCTCTTTTCTTTTATAATATAAAACCCTCTAGTCGTTTCTTTATAATCGTAGTTCCGATTGGCGTGCTTTTTGTGTCTGTGTGTTTGTAGCGACGTGTAGAACATCTTTAAAATATTTTTACTTGTCATTTCATATGTTTGGTATACTGTTCTAATTTAGTTCTATTGTTTGCTTCGTGTATGATTGCATGGATGCTTGTGTGGTGCTTTATGATCATGTCCAGTCGGTGAGAAGTACGTTGATGAAATAGAAGAAGTGGGTGATCCAGAAAAAGTCCTTTGGAGGTTACAATTCAATAGAAGAATGATCTAAGTTTAAGGCAAATATAGCATGGGATCTTCCTTGTTATTCTATACACCTTTAATCATTTAATTCATACTGCATGTGTCTACCTTGACTACCACTAAAGATTTTCTAGTACTTTGTATCTTATGTCTTGATACCTATGGGGTATTACATTGGGTAGTATGATGCTAGTGCTCAACTACAACCATGATTTTGTAACTTGACTAATGGTATATGCAATAAACATTAAAAGATGATTTTTAGCAACATGCAACAAGGGGGCTAGAGCGTTGGCATATTTTTATGGTGCTCTAGATTTCTCTTCCTAAAGACTTATCTGTAAACGAATATCCGTAACTTACAGTACAGCTGTGAGTGCTACATGGCTCTGGCTTTAGCTCAGTATGAGGACATTTTCAAGCTTGTTAGTGGTTACCTTTATTGACGTAAGAATGGCTTGACGAATCGGGTATAGTGCGGCCTCTGTCCCGTTGTGTATAGGCCGCGCGTCATTGTGCCATCGGGATGGGGAGCTCTACATCTGTTTGCCGAGTAAATCTAATGATCCTAACTTGTTAGACGAACATTTAAAAGGCTTCATAGTGAACCCTGCCGACCTTCCTTGGTAGTAGGTCAAGAGGCTGATCAGCTAGGGCGAAAGAGTAAATCATGACTCACAGTGAAAGTGAATAACCTCTGCAGAGTTTAAAATTGGTATATCAGCCGTGCTCACGGTCACGAACGGCCTTGGAACATTTACGGAACAGATGATGAACACTGATGGTACCGATGATAAAGATGCTCACTACTGATTACTGTTTATACTATTTATTATTCATGCTTACCTGATCATGTATTTATATGGGTTTGTGAATAAACTTGTTGCCACTCAATTGCTAAAAATATGACTCATTAAAAGCTAATCGTAGTTAAACCAGTGTCAGCTTTTTGAGCCCCATGAACCCCATGATATATTTGTTGAGTACGACATGTACTTACACTTACTTTATTTTTTAATTATTTGTATAAAAATCTAGGATGGGTACCAGATTGCTAGAGTTTGGAGGAATTAGGCTTGTAATCAATCAGTCAGTTGTCCCAGTGGAATTGGAGTCTTCACTCGAAGATCGGAGTTATCTTTCCGCTGTTTGTTGTCTAAGGTTATATCTTTTATACTAAGTATATTATATATTAAGCATTGTCTATTGATATTACCTTTATGTGTAGCTATATGTGAGATTTGACTTTCTAGGTTCACATATGGTGTATATCTGATTTTATTCTTAAAACCGGGTGCTACACAGACTGACGCCGGTTCCCTATAGCTAATAGCCTAATACCACACTATCTAACTGATAACCATAGAAATAAAACAAAGTGGGGCTGCTGGACAAGATTTTTTTATAAAAAAAGGCAAAAGTTGCGGGTGTCACCACCCACCAGATTAGCAGTGCCAGGGAATTATGCAAAGTGGCAAACAAAGACGAAGCAAATCAGGAGAAGCAGAGAACCGAGCTGGCTAGCTCAGCCGGTGGGCAGACAGCCGGCGCGAGTGCGATTCCTCTCACAAGCGGTTCGTCCCCAAATAAATTATGTTAGAGCCACAAAGAAAATATGAGGTTTATGATTGGATCCGGTGATCTCACACAGAATGCGATCCAGTGATCTGAATAGTGGTAGGTTTGTCTATGTATACGTGGTGTCTATGTATAAAGTTAGTGTGTCTATACATAAGCACATACTACAGTTATACCCATATGAGAGGAAAAAAATAATCAGGAGAAGTACGAACCCGTCGTAGAATACGACCACGACGACTGACCAAAATTCCAGGACTCCCTGACCAGTGCGCGCTGCACTGCACGATATTAATGGTTAAATTAAGATAAAATTGAATAATAGGACAAATCTGGATTGGCCTATATTTGCCATATGAATTGGTCGCAGAAAATACTAGGTTCATTGGGAACGGTCAGAGCTGAATACTTGGATGGTGATTGATATGAATGCCCGGACAATCTTTACCTTCGGCACTAGTTATACAAGCTGTATCTGGACAAACTATACGAAGCTAATTCCATATTACAGGATCGTCTTGTCTATGATTCATTTGCTACAGTGTATTCCTAGGATAGCTACCACATACAATTCGTCCTTACACCCACTCAACGTGTACATCATTCAGAAATCAAAAGCTATGAACAATCTGTTTCAGTGAGCTATACGTGCCAACCACAATTACCCCCGCCCCAATCATGATAATTCCCAAGCAAACTACCAGCTCCAACCTCAGATTCCTGGAGGACCTTGAGCTGATCTTCAGGTAGCAAACACAAGGTAGCAACATGGTGACCGTGCTGCTGAGAAACGAACCCGTAAGAGCGACGACATAGGCAAAGAAGGGCACGACAAGGGCCACGATGGTTGTGCTGACGACCAGGGCAGTCCGGATGAAGATACTGATGGTCCTGTTCTTGTCCACATGAAGTTTATCCTCGATAGCCTCTGCTATTGGAGTGATCAGCAGCGCGAACTTGGTGAACGGATTGATCAACGTCGTGTAGATCGCGACGTTGGAGGCAAAACGGTTTGATGGAAGGTTCAGAGTCACCTGGGAACTTAATGATTCCCCAAACATCAAGTATCCAATGACACCCGTCAGACCATAGCTAAGAGTGCAGATAATGAAGCAGATGAGCAACACCTGAAATTGTAAAAGACAGAAATGATGTCACTACAGTAGCTTTATGTAACTGGAAGTTTGACAAATTGCAGTTTATACCCGAACTGGAGTTCACAATCAGCGTGAACAAGATGTCTTTCTCTAACTTAGTGTAAAGATTCCAATTTCATATTACTTAATTTTTGGGCAGAGTGGGATGATTAATGCCAATTTTAATAAAATAGTACTTTATAACAGTTATATTTTTCTAGATCCATAGAAAAATGAACAAAATATACTGGTGAAAGGACTTCTGCTTTACTTACTGTGGGGAAAGCTTTTCTGTTTCTCATGCCAGTGTATATCATCGGAAAAACAGCATGGCCACTGAAGCAGAACGCATATAAGCTCATAGCAGTTGGCATACCAGACCAGTCCACAAGCACACCTTTCTTATGAAAACCAACCCCATCAAATGTTCCAACCCACAGAACAGAGGCAATTAAAATGACAGAAGCCATGACTCCACCGAGGGCGACATATGCAAGCATGTTCAAGCTCCGAAGCCATGTTGTTGGTAAAACAAGTAGACTGAAGATCAACACAAACCCTTGCTTGCTTCCAACCTTGAGCCCAGCAGCATGGAAGTTAGCATTTGGAAATAATTTCTCCAAGTTGTCACCTTCTAATATCAAGAAATCAATAGCCACAAGATACAGCTCTAGGTACAAGAATATTGCTACAATGATTTTCCCTTTCCGCCCAAAAGCTAGCTCACCAATATCAGGATAGGTCTTAACAAGCGAACTCGAGTCTATACATCTCTGTAGGAGAATACCAGTATAGAAACAGATGATTGCTATGGTTAAGAAAATAAGTAAGCTCAACCATCCTCCTTGAGACAATGCATACGGAATAGATAATATTCCAACCCCTGAAAAAAAAAAGAAATATATACAGAGAGTTCACTAGTTCAATAAGGACACATGGACAACCATTTGTAAAACTGATATAGCATCACTTCTCTGCATCTCAAGCTTACAAAAGACAGGCAGAATGGAAGAAACTAGGAACCTGAGAGAGCATTAACTCCATTGAAGCAAGTTTTGAAGAAACCCGTCCCAGACTTTGGAGGAGTGTTGTTCTCCATTACAATCTCCTAGTGGCCTTGGACTCGAGGATGCACATTAGGCTGGGGTTTTAAAGAGGTATGGTGCATGTGGTTAGGACAGCGGACCCACATGTCACCACTGTGGTAGTGCCGTGTAACAATGAGTGGATGTCAATCCCCAAAAAGAGAAAAAAAATAAAGGAAATAGGAAGCACCAAGTGGAATTACACAGATCGGCAAAGTAGATTCGTGAAATGCATTTTTTTTTTGTCAAACATATTGGCATCATAGCATGAGGAACTAATGATTACATATCCGAGAGGGAAGGAAAGGTGAAGACGCCCATGCAAAATGCATACACCAGCCACAGAAAAGGCACGAAAGCAAATGAAGTTGCATATGGTTCCAGCATCCTTGACAGTAATGATCGCATGCATCATAAAATGTGATGTCACAGCGCACCATATTGCAGCATATATCCATATGTGCGCTTTACTGGAATCAGAATATACAAAGCTAGCCTGAGTTCTATACCAGTTACACACAACCAGGGGCAAAGGGTTGCGATCACCAGGACAGTCAAGTGAAAACTTCAGGGAAAATTCTAACTTGGCCATAGTGCAAAGGCAGCGGTAAATTTACCAACAAGTAGCCAAATTATAAAGAATAATATTTGACCAAAATTGTGTGTGAACCATTCACTTAATCACCTCAGTCTCTCAAAACCATCTAAAACACAACCTTCATCCTAAAATCCAGTGGTTTTCGATGATATGTAGTACCCAGGTCAGCACAAAACAGCCTTAAAATGGATGCAAATTGGAGATTTCATAGTTTTAATAATGCAAATGGATGGTTTTAGTTTTAAGGGTTCAAAAAGAAACCACGAGCACAGTTAAAAGGTTGAAAACGTACTTGTCCTAACAGTAATGATCACAAATAAGCAATGAAACCAAAAGGTATATCACATAACAGACGGTAATACTTTATCCACATGTGATTTACATACACGAAGCACATGAGGTTATATCATTGGGTGTCATGAACTGATGTTTATTTTAATTGGTGACCTACAATTTCACAGCCAACAGCAACAGACGTGAAAAAGCAATGATATACCTAAAAGTGTGATGTATCAAGAGAATAGAAGTGTACCTCAAATGATTATCCTCATGCAAAACTAACAGCCTTATGGAGAGAAAAATAAATTGGTCAACAGAAACAATCAATATATTTAGTCTGAATCATGAAGGCACTATAAATGTTCTTCACAATCAAACCATCACAGCAGAAAGTAATATATGGCCACCCAAATTTTGGGATATAGAATATTTGGATGAGTCCTCCCACTATGTGATGTCTCTTTTTGGGTGACAAAAGAAGCTGCACAAAGTAGAAATGAAACCAATAGTGTCTTGAATCTCACTGGTGCTCTATAATAAATAAGTGAAGCACCATTACAGAACAAAACTAAAACCAGTTCCTATAAAACAATGCCTATTGTGCTTTAGTGGCATCATATCAAACAATTAGGAATGAACACGCATAGGAAACTGAAAATCGAACCACTTTCCTTTATAGTGCTGAAGCCACACAAATACGATCCAAAAGATGCTAGGACAATGTATGCAAAGCACAACACTGGAAGATTCCATATGAAAGCACTCCAAAGATCATACCCTGTAGTTTCTTTAGCAAAAGCTAGAAGATTCACTGTCAAAGCAAAATGCATAGGAAAAAAAAAGAAAGGCATTCAAATAAAAAACAGAAATTGTGTTCTGATGGGTTCAATTGGTACTATAACATGGCACTGCTATCCAATCTGACATCACTTCCCACTATAACTGACGTGCCAGACAGCAATTATTTCTTCTGATTCGATACAGTGACCACGTAGAGAAAGAGTCCAGTATCAGCTTTAAAAATACTTTCAACTATTGTTTGAAGTCGATAGATTTAAAGCAATTTTAATGAGGTAACACCACACTATATGGTGGTATCTTCTTGTTTATCCACCAGAGATACCTTGAGTGGCCCACACAATATTATCCAAGAAACAGAAAAGAGCATGCCTACAATCTCCATTTATCCACATCCACTTAATCCAATTAGATACTCCCAATCCTTTCTTCTTTGTATCATTTATGATCACAGCTAAAAGTGAGCATTTCATTCTGCATAAAAAGCTACTCCCTCTAATCTTTTTTGTTTGATGCTGGTTAGTGCAAAATTGAACTTACCAACGTCAAACATAAAGGAAGGGAGGTAGTATCAGATAAGTGGCATTGAATATTGAATCACATCACAACATGTAAGCAGACACTAATATAAAAAAAATACTCTCATAGTCCTATTCATCCTTGATTTTCTAGAGTGCACAATTCACTATCCGGGAAAGATGCAGAGTCTAGTAAATACAAGGTTTTTTTTTTTCATAACGGCATAGCCAAATTTCATTACTTGACAGCAACGAAATTACATGAGTTTGTTTAGAACGAAAGATAAACCGAGCCAAGCAGAGGCCACCTTGGAATGAACACGCAGGGTTCATCCAACTGGCACTACAAAACCATCCAACAAGCGTTTAACTTCGCCCAGTACATCAACATAGAAGAAATCAAACATAAGGCTTCAGTAGGAGTCTTTACTCTTTTCCCATCAAAGCAGACACCGTTTCTAGTCTTCCATATAGCCCAGCAAACGGCAGCTAGCCCCACAAAATATACATGCCTGCCACCTGGTAAGCACCACTAAATACAGGCCCAGAACTGAATGATAGAAGTAGGTCTCACTGATACCCCAAATATGTATGCCAATATGCTCCAGGTATATATGCTCACAGAACAATCAAAAAAGAGGTGTTGCACCGATTCTCCTTCTTGACAAAAAGCACAGTTAGGACTGCCTTTCCATTTCCTTTTGAGAAGATTGTCTTTGGTCAAAATAGCATTTTGCACCGTTAGCCACATAAAGATCTTGATTTTCAAAGGTACTTTAGCCTTCCAGATTTGGCTATAGTAAATACAAGGTAATTTTGGCAATACAAGAAGTTATGCCACCAGAATCACCACTAAATCAAATACAGTTCACTATAAACAAGCTGAAGCTTCTTTGTGAACTGACAAAAGAAATGAAAGGAGAAAGAAGTGCATCTCACAAATGAAATAAAAAGTGATATGTGAATATATGTAAAATTTCACAAATTAATTATGCTAACAAGATTACACACATGATGAAGCAGTGAAAAGTGAAAATCAGAAGTCCACACATGTTAGGAGGCCACAGTAGACTAGCAGCAATGAATGTGATACGGTTTAACTAATGAACAGATTTTACCAACTTTCTCAATAAGGGAAAAACTAATGAGAAACCAAAGTTGCTACGGAGAAACTCCATGATATTCCTCCTCTCCCTGATAAACTCACTTCTTTCATCCTTACAATTCTACTCTCTCTAGTATAAATTTTAGATAAGGACTGGCCAAATTTTGAAACTGACTACTAATAGAATCTAAATTATTCATTTTTTTTTTTTGGGGGGGCGGAATCATATTATAAATTTGCCTTAAAAATACTTTCATAATCTCATATATATTGTAATAGAAAATAGTGGTTGAAGAACATGCCAGAGATCATGTTATGCTTTATGTCCAAAACAAGTACTTTTTATTGGAGAAAGGAACTTGCAACATTTAGTAGAAAACATAGAACATCAGAGCTAATTTCGATGTCCAGTGGATAGATCAAAGCTAACAATCAACAGTAACTTCCAGAATGTGTAGACTGATAAAGTGATAATTGAGTGCATACCCAGTTACCCAGACAATACACTGTGGCTTTTATTAAATACTTTGTGCTTCATGAAATTGGATAGCATGCAAAAGAGAGAATACAGAAAGCCAAACTGATCGAGGAAGCCACAACTCTGAGTGATAGCAAAAGGCTATAACGTTATCATAGTGCACTTGAGGTTGCTGTACTGTGATTCCGGTCTAGAATGATTTCAGTGGTAGGTTGGGTTTCGAATAACAGCCACAATCATTGTTATCTTAGCTGGATTTGTACTAAGTGGCGGTTAATCAGGCTAATCAATTTTAAGTTGATCTGAGGAATTCAGATTCATCTTGAACATGACTGAGCCACAAAAGCCCAATATAATTGGCAGGGAACTTCATGAGGAAAAGGCAATGTGAAAGAACCATTGATGCACACCTACTCAGCAAGCATTGGTAGGCATTGCTTTGAAATCCACTAATCTTTCAACGGGGCCCCATCATGATTGATTCACTGCCCAAGATTCTTGCTGGGTCAACACGAATTTTTTACTGCACCAGAGGCACAGATTACGTAATCCGGCACCGCGCTCTTGTCATCATAGAACGCAATCGGAGATCACCATCCATGTCTTTTACCAAGCTATCAAGGAGACAAAAAAAAGCAAATCATCAGAAGGTTGCAGGGAACTCCACGTCTGTGTATAAGATAACCTAAAGCCCATTTTGTAGTTGTGTGTTCCCCTTTTTCTTTCTCTCTTTTGATAAAATGTGTTCCCCTTTTTCTTGATTGGCACAGGCTAGCAGCCTAGTAGTAGTACTGTCTAGTTTACTCTTTGTGTCACGCAATAATGGAGAACAGGAGGAGGTGGGGTTGTTGGACAATCAAAAGATTTGAACAAAAGTTACATTTGCCACCAAATTAGCACGGAATAAATGAAATGAAGATACAATATAGCAGGAGAAGCACGAACCGAGTGTAGGATATGGCCGTGCTTCGTGTTTGCAACTGACGAAAAGGCCTCCATGACCAACACAAGCTGCACACCCACATTGACATTCTGCGGGCATTACCACTATGACTCGGCAAGGAACTGCGCCGACAAATATAGCCTGCCGGTACAGCGCACTTGCCACCGGCCACTAGCGCTGGCCGGCCAGCGGTCGGTCGACGGTCGACGGTGCCGCGGACCGGTCATTCCTCTCAAGAGGCGGAATCGCAAAAAACGGAGGGGTTAGAACTTACAGCCACATGAAACAAATAGTC